TAAAATATTAAGCCGCATCATCCTGGAGAGGCTTAAAGATGCACTGGATTCAAAACTACGACCGGAACAGGCAGGCTTCAGGAAGTACAAATCATATGCCGATCAAATTGCAACGCTTCGCATCATCATACAACAGAGTATAGAATAGCAGTCAACTTTCTACCTCAACTTTATCGAATTTGAGAAGGCCTTTGACAGCGTCGACCTTGAGGTTATTTGGAAACTGCTTCATTACTACGGAGTACCGCAGACCCTTCTCCGCCTCATCCAACAACTATATGAAGATGCCACATGCCAGCCAAGTCATCCACAATGGGAAGCTCAGTGATGATCTTGAAGTGAAGACAGGAGTGAAACAAGGTTGCCTACTATCCCCCATGATATTCCTTATTGTGGTGGACTGGATCATGCAGCAAACAGTGGGGAGCGAGAAGAGGGGATACGATGGACTGCGGAGAGGAACCTAGAAGACTTGGATTTCGCCGATGACTTGTGCCTGATGTCATATAAACTTGAAGATCTACAGCCAAAAACTAACAAGTTCACAGAAGAGGTGAGGCAGGGAAGCGAAGACGGGACTTCAAGTGAATATAGAGAAGACAGAGGTGATGAAGATACCCAACCAACAACAACAGCAACAACAACAAACTCCAGTCACCATGAACGGGAGAAACTTAAAGGAAGTAACCTCCTTCACCTATCTAGGCAACACTGTTTCAACTACAGGCAGCGGTGGCACAGACGAGGATGTCAAAGTCAGCCAGGATCGGAAAAGCAAGACAGGCGTTCATTAGCCTGAAACCAGTGTGGAGATCTTCTGCACTGCACTCAGCATGTGGAACAAGATCTGGATTTTCAACAGCAACGTCAAGTCAGTGCTTCTGTATGGCTCAGAGACTTGGAGCGTTACGAAAGGGATTTCCAACAAACTACAGACATTCATCAACAACTGCCACCTACACTGGCTAGATACTGAAGATCAGATGGCCAGAATAACGAGAATAAGCAACAAGAAGCTCTGGGAACGAACCTACCAAGAACCTATCACTCGACAAATATGGAGTGGAAGGAAGTGGAGATGGATTGGGCATACACTGAGAAGGCTGACTGGGGACATCATGCGTCAGGCTAGGCCCTCGAGTGGAATCACCATGGGAAGCAACGAGTTGGGCGTCCCAGTTGAGGGTGACATGGAGGAGATCGTGCGAGGAGGAAATGAGAGCTTGTGGGCTGTTGTGGAGCCAGGTTGGAAAGATTTCAGAGAACAGAGTTCACTGGAGACGTGCTAGTGAAGCCCTATGTTCCACTAGGAACCCAAGGGACTAATAAAAATAGTAATAATAATAATAATAATAATAATCACTGTGTGTCTAGTGTCTGTTCACTTGAAGTAGTAAAAATTTTAATCAGACATATTAGGGATTTTTTAATTACGTAGCTGTTTTGTCCCTGTATGAGATCCTAATGAAGCCAGTACCCATCCGTGGGGCTATTACAATTCCCCTCCAGGTCATAGAGAATATTCTTATGGACATCTAGGAATAGATGGCTCTTAAAATGTTGAATCCTATGCCAAAATTCTAGTGGAGATATGTGGATGATACACCTACTGTGTTGAAATCTGAGTAGACAGACAGACAGACAGACAGACAGACAGACAGACAGACAGACAGACAGACAGACAGACAGACAGACAGACAGACAGACAGACAGATTGACACAAGAATCAAAGTAGAACTTCTCACAGAAGTACATTGGTTCAAGTTACTACACTTCACAATGGTATGCAAAGAACGGGTGGATAAAATAAGAGTAATATCACAGTAGACAGAGTTACGTGACATAATAAACAATTTGAAGATAATAATGAGCGAAAATATTCAACCTTTAGAAGATGTCAAGGAGTGAATACATCACCACCACTGTGACCGATTTTCAGCCATCTCATCAAGAGTCCTCAAACACTGGTTCCTGCCATCTCAAGGTCTTCAAGCAGGCAGTTCACACGTCTATACATAGCTCAGACCAACAGTCAGGGGCTTCTTCGACTGGTGCCGGCTCTTGATTTGGCCACTCGGAATCATCTTCCAACCTAATCCAACTTCTAGCATGGCACGCGGAGGTGTGCGTTGGTGGCTCGGCATGCATAGTAGATGTCCAAATCGGCTGTAGATGGAGTACAACATACTTTCGATATTGAATATGAACAAGGGGAAGTAAATATACTAAATTGTAAAGTTAGACGAAGACAAGACGGTGGTGTTAACATACTTGTCTACAGAAAAAAGTGTCCCCATCAGATCAAAAATTTATCTAAACAAATGACAAGGATAAGAAGAGGTTTACTTCTGAATAGTCTTCCTCCCAAATTTATTCAGAAATGCATAAAAAGAGGAGAATTAGTGATTTGAACAGTAACTGCAATATGATGAAGAAAGAATTCAAGACATCTATAGTGTCACTATATGATGGTGAGATAATAAAGTCCCTCTGTGCAAAATTCTCAATAAAGGCTGAGGTTAGTTAGGATGTCATCTAAACCTACAAACTCAAACAAAATTTATCGGCTTAAGGATTATATTGACCCAATTAGGTAGAATGTTATACGTTAAGTACTGTGAATTGGCTTAGTCATCGAACACATAGGTTAAACTAGCCGAACGGGGGTCAGTCAGGTTAGGAGAACATAGGAACCCAGCTAAGTTCAGATTAATAGAGCGTACTGAGATGAGTAATCTCGAAAAGAATTCAGCTATAGTTATACATCCAGTGACACACACCCACATAATAAGATGGGATACAGTAACACTCCGGAAGGCTTATGTATTTAAGTGGAGAGAGAAGTTGATCACTGAATCTTTTCTCATCAACTCACCGCCTAACAGATGTAATCGAAATGATGCAACACCAATTCCGGATGCATGAACATTTTTACTATCAATTAAATCGAAGAATGAAAACATTAGAACTATAAAAACTAGACTAAAGAGTTACATGGTTACCTTGATTAGATTGTAAGCAGTAAATTGCATTCAAAACGTCATCCAGTAAGTTACACTATATTCTTGTGTACGATAACAAACAGACCAACCTCATAAAGAAGAACATATATGTGTAGAGAGATGCTTTGAGATGGATATGCCTAAGTTATACTGAGAAACCGTGACCTATACAGGTCAATCAGTAAGAAGTGAAGTGGATGGTAACTGAAAGCCTCAGTGGATAGCTAGGGTATATCTTGAATTGACAGAAGTAGGAAACTATGGACCACTGAACTCTCACCCATGAAACCTGGAGGTCCTGAGTTCGATCTCTGGGAGTGATGTTGTTCCCACTGAGACTCAAACCTCATATCCATTGCTTCAAACGTCAAGGAGTTATCTACTATACCACTATATACGTGATTCTATCCAAATGTGGAAAGAACGATAGATTCTGATGTGATCAATCAGCCCTTAAAGTATACTTTAAATCTTCTGATATTCATCAACTGAACTTATCTGTCACCGTCAACAAACACATAACTGAGTTTCTTCAATGCTGAGTATACGCCTTACTGAAGACTGCCACGAAGGAAGAAACTCAGGTTGGCCAAGATTTTGTTGCTACATGGTGGTGGTTAATCTACCGAAAGCCCTTGACCTAGGTTTGGCGCTTCTTGACACTCCTCAGCGGAGCATGACTACAATTTAGGGCATAAATTACCCCTTATAGAAATTAAATATCTTCACACATTGGTTACTAGTAGGTAACCGATGTCGTTGTTCAATCCTTGGTGCTTAAGACTGGCCAATGTCTGTTGATCAAGTCTTGGAGTGTGATCACTAAGTGAAGTGAGGTGACATTACAGTGTATTGTATTTCGTTGTTTCAGATGTTGGGAATCGATTGGTAGGATACCCCACAGATATAAACACAAAGTAGCAGAAAACTACATCTATTATCCACTGGTGACTTATTCGTGTAAGCAGGGTTTCGTATTGATAACTTTGAAAAGTCTAACAACACACAGAATTTACCTCAGGTTCCTATCGTTTATACTGTCAAAGGATCACTTTGCATACAATATACAACCACTCCCAACTCGAACAGCTCAATGGTAAGGTCTCTGAGCTTTAGTGTCAGTCGGGTCACTGATACGCTCTGCAGTCCAATTCGGTTTTGAAGCAGATTTATACATATTTCAAACTGTGAGCCGGTGGGGGGGGGGGGAATGGGGAAGGCAAAGAAAGTCATTCATCCGTTACAAATACTGTCTGTTAATAAGTTTCAACACACCTGAAAAATCTGCATTAATCAAAGAACTTAAGAGAAAACTGACTAAAAGAGCACAGAAACACAATAGATACCTGAATGGACTTGAAAGTGACACAGTATTCAACACTCAGAATCACGATTAAACAGTGTTTCTTCAGTTTCAACATTTTATCATTTTAATATTGGTTTTTAAATTTCCAGAAAGGATTTATTATTACTGCTAATCAACTTGGTACTTGGGAATAATAACAATTTCTACACTTTTACTGGCAAATATTATGTAACTGTCAGTGCATAATTCCAGTTTGAGTTGACGATTTGCTTCATATCGGTATTGATCATGGACTAACATCTGTTGGGGAATTACTTGAATCCTGGGAGACCAGTGTGGGACTCCTCAACAGTAGGAAGGTAATGATGTCACCAGGAGTCGAACCCAAAGCCATCAGACTCCGCACGTTACCATTGAGGCACTCGTGAGGATTCCAATAGCCATACTACATCACGAACTGGCAGGGTTATGAGTACGTACTGTTGAGGAGTCCTACACTAGGACGAAACAGTTGTCATATATCCCATGGTTTTCATTGATTCCTCAACTGATGTTAATCCAAGATGAATGCCAACTGAAAACCAATAAACTGATAAACTTCCTTGTTTTTTTTTATTTTCCTTAAAATTCAAGATTTCACGCATACACTCCAATTTGGCAAATCTAACAAGTCATTCTATGCAAATTTACAAATGAATTATGATCACAATACTGATGAAATTACATCTCAGCATGTAATCAATAAAAAATTGATGAAAAAATCCCGCAAAGCAAGAACAGCCTTTACAGATTATCAGTTAACTGAATTAGAACAGTGTTTTGATCGACAAAAGTATCTAGCTGTACAAGATCGTATGGAGTTGGCGACAAAATTAAATCTGTCTGATAGACAAGTGAAAACATGGTATCAGAATAGACGGTAAGTATCATTACTGTCATGAATGTGTCAATCTTGTTGCTATGCTGTTTAAATTGTAGTCTAGACAACGAAATATCACTAGACCAATTGTCTTAGCGATTGAATAGATTGATATTGGATGACGACTGAAAGTGAAATGAAGATCGAAGCAGTGACAGGATTCGAACCAGCTACATCTAGGTTACCGGTCCAGTGTTCCAGTAACTGAGCTATTAGAACCAACAGCCGACCCACATCTTAATTTTACTTCAATCATTCTGTGAAGCAGCGTACACTGGCCTCACATAGCGTCAATTCCACAAGTGTGTTTTGAAACATGGCTCAGCTTGTCTATCCACATGCGATAAAAGGAATATCAGCAGTCTTATTCTTGAAAACCTTGTCATCTATGGACATCTAACCTCTCCTAGTAGTTCGTTCAAAGTGATTTAAAGAATGCCTTCACACAATTTCATGACGTGTATTCGTTAGCCCCATCATGGCGACAGTTTTAATTTCCATCTGTCTTTATAAACAAAGTTTTTTTCTCCTCTTAAACGTTGTAGTCATCATGTGTCCCTACTGATCACCGATAGACTGTTATTTATTTTCAATGATTATAAATATGATTGTGTACAGCTTGGATAAATAATCAGTCATCGAAACAGAAAAATCATGATTTCATTACTGAATATACACAAATTTTCCTTTTCTGGAATGAAGCAACCCTGAAAATGAGTGGGCGATGTCTTAAATATCGTAAACCACCAATAGGAATAAAGAATCATGAAACCAAGGTCACTGATCACTGATTGGCTACTATCTTCAATCATAATATTTATATTCGCAAAAATGAAGATTTAAAATATTCTTAATATGATTTTGTGTAAAACTATTTTTTGATATTAGCTATGTCTGGTGGCCAACAGTGGAATCCAGAAGGCGAGTTTCATCCCATTTGATACTCGTCAGCTGGATATATCTGCCTTCCAGTGAGTGATGTTTTTCCTCGCCAAGACCCGTCACATAAAAGGGGACTAGTGTAACATGCTGGCCTAGTGGATAACGCTCTAACGATTGAAGTGAGTTAGTTTAGGGTTTGACTCTTAGTAGGAACAACACTACTCACTTGAAGGCAAGTACATTCATCTGATGAGTTCCAACTAGGACGAATCATGCTTTCTGGATCCCATTACTTTCCTAATACTGTTTACACCAGTGCAAATAGGTTACTGACATTAACTAATCAGTTAAGAAAGAAAGACTGTGATCAAAGTGATAAATCTGTCTCGTCCTTGAACAGTCTGTCTAGGGACTTTTGTGCTTCCCAGCCCATAAGAATTTCCATTAGATCATCTGGCGGTAAATTCAACTGATTTTTGAGAGATGAAGGTGTAAAACATTGCGACATCATTTGTGGATTATCTTGTTGAAAGTTGAGAAACTTGGAAAGAACGGCTGCTAATCAGAAATGTGGTTCAAGATTGGTGCCCACATGCTTATTCCAAACCACAACCCTATCTCAGACTTCCATATCCCAGCATTAATTTATTAGCCAACATTAAGTCACAAAACATGAAATATTCAGTTAGTTGGTTTGTAGAGAACCGACTGATCCCACTATAGCTTTCATCAGTCATAGAACTGATGGTAACCAGAATGCCCTGGATAGTTGTTTCATATTGGTCACAGACTTCCCTACAGTACACCTTCTGAGTTCCAATGGGATATGTAGTGTGTTGGGTGGACCAAGGATGGCATTCGATGATGGTCACACTATATCGTGAACTGACTGAATTTGAAGAATGTAGACCATCTGACTGAAAGGTAATGCATTGATTGCAAAATCTGATAGTCTCTTAGACAACTCCACTTAGGTGATGCGTATGTACCACTTCAATAATTCAATAACAAAAGTATGGGCCTATAAACTTTTTAACTTTGATTCACAGATTCAATTTCGAAACCTTAAATCGTGAATCCTTACTGTTACATCTTGATGAGACTTTTTATTCTCTGCATCTCCTATCAAACACTTGCATTATTTTACTTAGTATCGAAAGCCACCATAGTTCATCAACGTTAACTGGCTAAAAATCAGTACACGTTCCGTTTAACATCAGAAAACCCTATATATTTTTGTGAGGGAATTCTTAAATTACTATCTAGTATTTTTTCAGGTTGTTATTCATCGTAGACTGACATCAGTTGGAGGAACAAAGGAAACCTGGAAGCACTGGACAGCTGTCTCCTAGTATGGGACTCCTCGGCAGTGCGCACCCACAACCCCGCCAGGGATCGATCCTACGACCTTCGGGTTCCGTGGCCAGCACGTTATTATCTAGCCAGTGGGTCAGAACCCAACGGTCCCAGTAGTTCAACGGTAACGTGCTGGCCACAGAACCCGAACGTCGTGGGTTCGATCCCTGGCGGGGTTGTTGGTGCGCACTGCCGAGGAGTCCTATACTAGGAGGAGACAGCTGTCCAGTGCTCCCAGGTTTCCTTTGTTCCTCCAACTGATGTCAGTCTACGATGAATAACAACTTGAAATATTTCCAAATCCTCCCAACTCCCTCAAAAATTTATTTTTTATTTAATTTTTTGTGGGACAGAATGTGTAAATCGTCGAGAAATTTCATTCCCATCATAATTTACTGATGTTATGAAGTAACAGATGCGCAGACTTAACTGACAAGGTCGTAAATTAGGTCTACTTCAATCTGATTGGTTCACTGAAAGGTAAAACTGTCCAATAAGATTGTCGTAACCACAAGGCAGCACCAATTAAAAGTTGAAACTCAAAAACTTCTGCTATGTTGGTTGACGAAGTAAAATGTTGATTTCTACTGTAATCAATCACTGTCGCATATAACCTTGGATTCTGTGTGCTTATTTATTTTCTTCGTTTTCTGGTTTTTTCTCCCTAATATTTTGATTAGAACTAAATGGAAACGTCAAACTGCTGTTGGTCTTGAGTTGATGGCAGAAGCAGGCAATTTTGTAGCAGTTCAACGTTTAGTAGAACAAAGTCCATTTTGGGCATATCATCCAACAGTAAAGTATATTTTATCAAACATTGGCTGTATGCATCAGTCATCATCGACGTCAACAACAACAACTGCAGTACCAGTTGGAACCTTGTCATCACATATTAAGCTCGGATTGAATTCATCTTCACTGATATCAACATCACTAGTACCACCATCACCGATGATATATTCAAATGGCCATGACGGTTATCATCAACACCTTCAGTATCCTACTCATGTTATCAATAAACATTTAAGAGCTCCTGATTCCCTGATGGGAACATCTACAACATCAAATTCTTTGTTAGATAGTATTCATAACAGAATAGGCATTAGACCATCATCGATATCTTTTATCCCTTCATCAAATACCACCTCTTCATTTTATTCAAAAACAATCATTCTTGACCAATCTGATGTTAGAAAACACTTTCTGCATCAGTCTCCAGCATCTTCTTCACCATATCAATATTATCATACATTAAATAGTAAGACAATCAATATTCACGATCTGTTATCAATTTCATCTTCGTTGAATGAAGCGAATTCTTCTGATTATTTAAATATACTTCCTTCTTCATCTTTGTCATGCTCCTCTTCATCATCTTCATCTTCTTCATCTGTATCTGCCATCTGTCATTCACCAGCTGAAGCAATATGAAAAAACAGTTTTACAATCGGTTCTTCTACATGTGTACTTACTGCTGTGGTATGATACCATTCACACAAAAATAGTATGAAATGAAATACTGAGCATATTATTAAAAGCATAAACACATATCTCAGCCACCGCTAATACCCGGACTACTACTACTACTACTCACACTACTACCATCACTACTACTGCTACTACTACTACTACTACTACTACTACCACTACTACTACTACTACTACTACTACTACTACTACTACTACTACCACTACTGCTACTTCTACCACTACTACTACTACTACTACTACTACTACTACTACTACTACTACTACTACTACCACTACTACTACTACTACTACTACTACTACTACTACTACTACTACTACTACTACTACTACTGCTACTACTACTACTACTACTACTACTACTACTACTACTACCACTACTGCTACTTCTACCACTACTACTACTACTACTACTACTACTACTACCACTACTGCTACTTCTGCCACTACTACTACTACTACTACTACTACTACTACTACTACTACTACTACTACTACTACTACTACTACTACTACTACTACTACTACTACTACTACCACTACTACTACTACTGCTACTACTACTACTACTACTACTACTACTACTACTACTGCTACTACTACTACCACTACTACCACTACTACCACTACTACTACTACTGCTACTACTACTACTACTACTACTACTACTACTACTACTACTACTACTACTGCTACTTCTACCACTACTACTACTACTACTACTACTACTACTACTACTACTACTACTATCTAGAAGTTTCCAATCACAATTCTTTGCCAAAATTTTTTTTATTTTGGAAAACGCACCACAAAATTATTACTATCCTTTGAATTAACAGAAAAGGTATCTAAGTAAATAGAATAAAAATGTAACATGATGATCAAAAACTTCTCAAGTTATTCCTATACAGTATGATGTGTGTGAAATTCAAGTATTGATGAGAAGGCTGTCAATCATAGAGATAAATAATGCAACTACCAGTTGATGTGTCATAGATGTGGTGAAGATATTTTGAAAGCTTATGAGGAACTGACTGATCTCAAAGAAGTTTTTACCAAAGACTAACATTAATCAAACGATTACTGAAAATCAGGGGTCACCGTATCCCTAATTTCAGCAGTGGTTATCTCCAGTCGCATGCGGAATCAAATCCTGAGTTTTTGCAGCAAGTAGACTGCTATTTTATAAGGCTAACTACCTGGGATAGCTTTGGTTTGGCAGACTTGCGTTATTGACGCTGGCTGATGACTTAAAAAAGAATCTGGACTGCTACAGGATTCGGACCAGTGACCTTCAGGCTACTGGTCTGGTGTTCTACCGCTTGGTAATTGTAGTAAAGATTAAGATTTGATTACCAGACAGGTCTCGAGCCCTGGAACGGTTTAGATTTTCATAATTTCTCAAATACAACTCCATTGATCTCAAAGGTTTGAATGGTAATATGTTGCCATGGTGACATAAGAAGTCTGGATTCGATTTCATATGAGTACTACTAAAATAGGATGAAACAGTACTCAATTACTTTAAAATTTCTCTACTACTTGACGTCAATCAGTTGATGAAGAAAATTATTTTCTTAGTCAATAAAAAGTTTTGTTAATCAATTCTTAAGTGTTATCCTCTTAGAATAACAGTTATCATTTATTATTTAGAAAGGGGATATTCTGATGGGAAAACTGTGTTACTTATCCGACATAGTTTTAAACGGAAAGAGATCTAATAACTACCGAAATAACTAAGTATCATCAACTATGCGCTGACATCTATATAGATAAAGAAAAGAGATACCGAAAAGTTGGAAGTATACACGTGTAAATCCACGCACGCACGCATTCACACACACAGAGTGGGATTCCACATAGAATAAACAAGTAATATGTTGACAATTCCTTCTAAATATTCCACTTTACAGTTTTATAAAACAGTTTATAATGATTGACAAAAATGTTTATCAACTTAGATGAAAATGGATTGATTACACTGACACCTCTTGGGAATTAAGTGATAAGCTTGATATACTGTATAATGATAGACATTAAAAACAACTAGACATACATACACTGAGGGAATAGTACCGATTTCATTTGAAAGGATATCTACTAACCACAGAGATATACATATAAAATCATCATATAATTAGACATTTAGTAAATGATTGACTGTGTACAATGTCAATCATTAACAATTGTATATTGAACATTTATGATTGTTTTCATACATTAAAACTATTACCTACCAGGAAAGTAGGCATAGAGGAGGAGGGGGATATGGGAATGGGGCTATTAAATCGGACTAGGTCAAAGCAACCAGCTGATATGAAGTCATTTCAACACAGTTAATGATTCTCTTTCATTGTGACTACTGTCATGAACTTGATTCATTCAAACACCTCCTTACTAGAGGTCATACCTGTCAATCATTATGTCATTACTGTTTCTGTTTCCATTATCCTAACTTTACTCTTCCTCGATTCTCCTCCTTTCTCTCCCTATGCAGTGGGGTTCTTCGTTATCTTCCATGAATCTATTCATGTTTTTCCTTTGGCTTTACTTTTGGATCTTCCTTATTTCTGTTTGTTTGTTCTTTTCAGTTATCTCTTCATCATTCGTATCATCCATTTACGACCGATTTGAACAACTGTTTGGTGACACGATATTCAAGGAAGTTATGAACACTACAGTCTCAGGACAAACTATCCACATGTTGGGTTTATCAGAGCTGTAGAAGGCGAAAGACTTTGAACCTCTCTGTAAGGTCTAGAAATGAGTGACAAGAAATCATTTGGTTCTTGCAAGCTCGTAAAAACAAATACTGGATATTGAAGTTCTATTTTCTGGGTACTCCCTTCTAAGAGTTGTATTACAGCTTAGGTTACTTACGTAAACATTGAAGTGAGTGATCTGAAATGTTTGAAATGTTATACATCATTATTAGTTCATCTCTCAGTCGTATATATTTCGTGAGATGTAGTGGTGACATGCGTTCTTTACATGATTTGGAACTGAGTCCACCAACAGATTGAGTGCAGTGCTCTTCGATGCATTCTAAATGGCTCTTACCTTTTCGAAATGAAAGACAAAAGACGATAGTCCCAAATTCTAGGCAATATCGTATGAAATTGTTCAATATATAACAATAATAATTTTATTCTGAAAGCTGTTTCAGGAATACTGTACAGAATTTTCATATAGCATCAGTTGGATAGACATAGTGTAGTTGTATACGTAGCAAAATGAAATGAACAGAAATTATACAAAAAGACAAGCATATTCACTCCATCTACAACTTTCTTCAAAATGTATAGTCAATTTTGGTAAACAATCACATTGGTAATTAGATTCATAATACATAAAACGTAACACGCTCATCTTCAGTTAGTTTGCTTACAAAAACACAAGTTGACTAGTTATTTCATTTGTAATACTTTCTTCCTCGTAGACGCGACGACCTAAATACGTACGATACTGTAGTCTTTTTATTTAGTAGTATGTGCATAAAGTCTTATGTACTTGCTCCTTGTCTTTCCAGATGATCGACACATAGAGAACTTCAAGTGAAGAGCATACTGGTCATCTGATAAAATAGCTCTTGACAGATGTTTACATGAGTCAGGATGTTTGTCCAAAACAGTTTCACTCAGAAGGTTCAGAGATACATCACTAGTTCTGATGACAATCTTCAAAGTTCTACACAATATAGCATAATCTTTTATCATGAACCCATGAAAAAATAAGGGGGAGCAATAGAGGAGGACAGACAAGATGCAGGAGTTGATAAAAAAAAACACAAGACAAGCGGTTGAGTTCTACCAGAACCTCTCAGCTTCCTAATATGGTAAGTTAAGTGGAAGATTCTTTTGGAAATCAGTAAGATATGAGAGGACCAAGAAAGGTTTGAAGAAAAACATACACGCCAAGATAAATCACACTTGTAACATTCTCTAATAGACAACCATCAGCTGAACCGGAATCATGAGGCGTAAGCAGTTTACATAGGTTATATTCACATTTAAAATTAAAATTTATCGTCTGACATTTTGAAGAATTGAGCACAAGACCACTCAAGGAGAATCATCGTGTAAAAGTAGGTAGGAAATGATTCAGTTGGGAAAAATCTACTGAAGAGGAGACAAGTGTGGAAAATGTTAGGTCATCAGTATATTTGATGGAATCGATAACTGCTGAAGATAGTAGGTTATGCAGAAAGAATGAGAAAATACAAGCGAAAAGAAAGGCTCAATAAAGAACACCAGTCACAGTAAGCAATCAGGTGGAGCGTTTCTCTCTGTGAACAGTATGTTTTTTCACTTCAGAGAAATGAGAATGTAGCCAGGACTCAGTATTTGTTCCAGTTGGCTTATCTAGCAAAAGAGGTCTAGGGACAGAATCAAATGCCGAAGTGTCATCTAAAATGGAACACATGATATACCTGGGATTTCTATCAAGGTTATAAGCAATATTGTGATCTAAGAGAGTGATGGCATCCAAAGTGCTTCTTTTACGTTTATATGCAAATTGATTAGGGTCTCCGAAAACCTTCAGTGAGGGCTCAAGCACAGGTATTACTAGCTTCGCCATTATTTTTGAGGACGGAGACGTTACTACAATCGGACGGGATTTCGGACATACGCCTGGAGTCGCTGACTTAGGTAAGGGGACTATCTTAATATCTTTCCAGGTAGCTGGTATGGTTTTTTCTAAAAATAATCTATTGAACGTGTTAGCTAATGGATGGCAAAAATTATTAGCATACTTCATACCTGAACGGTGTGAAGGATTCAGGGATTTGAGACATTTGAAATCGTCTTTCTTGATGAACTCTGGACAACAGTCTTCATTGGAAATATGTGAGCAAAGTGAGATGCGACAAATGGGTTGGCGTATAAACGATTTGTTTAAATCGCAGACGTTAACATGTGCTTCTTTAGTGAAGTGTTTACTACAAGTGAGGTCTTTAAAATGTTCTAACATGCAGGAAGAGCCTTTGCATGACAAAATTTTCTGGTTATATAGTAGACTCATACGTTTAATTTCCAATCGAATTAAAGTGTTGAAGATTTGTCGGAAACATCTGTGATGAAACTGTCCAAGGAATTGTCACAGGGCTACAAAAGATAAACTTGCACGAAATACGCTGTGGTCACAGTTTTTCTTATTAAAGAAGATACCTTCAGTTCTATGCTATTTAGTTTGTATGTATGACATATGTCCTGCTGAATATGTATCACCTTACATTTTACGGAATTAAAAGTTAGTCCATTGTAATCTGTTCAATGTTGAAGTCAGGTGAAACCCTTTTGCAAAATGAGTCCCTTTCGTCTTTTACTCCTCTCCATAGTTTCATATCATCAGCAAAGAAAAGGATTTTGGAAGACACTTGTAAAGGTAAGTCATTTGTGTAAGTTAAGAACTAGAAATGCTGTAAAAATCGAACCTTAGGGGAGTCCACTGGGGTATCTTTTTCCTTTAGACATGACACAATTCACTTAGACCTTAAGCAGGCGCTTTTCTTAAATATGATGATAACCAGTCGATTAACGTTGAATTGGTTCCTGTTAACCTCAATCTGTTGATGAGACAGTTGTGAAGGGCGCGTTCTAAAGTCTCAGAAAAATCAGGATATATGACATCAATTCTACCCCTAACTTTCAACGATGCTAGTCCAACTCTCTACTGCATTTAGTGATGTATAAATATTCCTTTTATCAAATCATGCTAGTAGTTGCCTAAACCATCATAAATTAGCAACCTATC